TCAGGAAATGAATGAATGGAAATCACTGACAAAGGTGATCCTAACCATGAATTTCCAACTACAACTGGTGCAAAAAGCTGTAGTAGTGGCTCAGGTGTTCAAACTCCAAATAAGTCTGAGCTGGAGTGGCATCCAAAAATTAATATTAAAGTCACATAAATGTTGAAGTACGTTAGAGTGTCAGAGACCAAAGAAAAGCTATAATGCATAACAAGACCTTTCAAGATTCCTGCTGGATACCTTTCTCCCATATACTAGGAAAAATTCATCAGCATGGTCCCAAGGCTATATTTATACCACATAGGAAATAATTTTTTTTTGTGCCTGTATTTTGAGATCAGGCCTCTTCACACTGTATTGTGTTTACTTAGTAGGTGTTTAAGGAAGACACTCGCTGTACTGACAGCTTTGGAAGCGCACCAGCATCTTCCAGTGTCCAGATAAAGGCAGGAAACCCCCTCAGACCCTAACCTTTATAATTATTTCGTGGCTGCGAAACAAGAAAATGAAGACAGAAATGGCAAAAGGGTATGCTTCCAGCCCGAGACCATCTATAAACGCATTGTGCAATGAAACCATCAGCCGAGCTTGCAGATAACGGGCAGTGCCATTGACCTTGGCTCGGAGCACGGGACAACTTTGTTTCCACCTCCCGATTCTGCTGCAACATAAAATTCCGGGTGAGCGCTACTCGCTACAACCAAAGCCGCAGCGACAACTCTCCCGCTTCCGATCTCATTCACAAAATATTTCTAAGCCCCATTTTACTCTCCCCGTGGGAAAACCAGGTGTCTCAAGCATAGACTTCTTTTTTATCGCGCCCAAGCGGGGCAGGAGGTTCGCCTTCAGGGTGACACACCAGCCCTGCCCTCCACGCGCCATTATACATTAACCGGTTTTCCGCGTGTTACGGGCACGCAGAAGATAACCCCAGAGTTCCAGTCGGTGTCCTGGCCCATCCCACCCCGCCCTGAGAGCTGAGTCTCCCGCTCCCTCCGCTCCCTCTCCCCGCCGAGGGGCGCCGGGGCCGCGCACAAAGGCGGCGCCGCGCACGTGGGCGCGCACCCCACCACCCCAAGATGGTGGGCGAGAGGCGCGCCCGCCCCGCCCCCGGCACCGCTCGGACCGGCACAGCCCGGGGGCCGCCCGCCACCGGCTCCGGCCGGCCGGAACCCGCGCAGCCCCGCCGTGCCGCCCCTGCCCGCTCTCGGGGTGGCGGGAGCCCCGGCACGACTGTGCGCGCTGCGGGTGTCCCTCGGGAGGCGCCCACGCCCCGCGGCCAGACAAAGGGATGCGGCAGCGGCGGGGCGGGCGGAACGGGAACCTCGGCCGGGCTGGGCGCGGCGCCCCCCGCCCCACGTGCGCGGCGGCTCGGCGGGCTCACCTCGTCCTCCCGCTCGCTGCGGAAGCACAGGCACGCCGCCCGCTTCTTGTAGCCCTCCCGGTCGTACGTCCGCGTCTGGTTCGGCTTGAATTTCATCATAGAGGCGGTGACACGCCGGTTGCCCCCGGCCGCCGCCGCCGCCACGGCTCCTCTCTGTGAGCGCCGCCGCCGCGCCCCTGGGACACCGGCGCGGGGCCCCCGCTCGGGAGCGGGGCTGGAGGAAGGCCAGTCCCCGCCGCTGTCACAACAGCGTCGCGCCGCCTCTGCCGCTGGTGCCACCGCCCCGGGAGCTGCGCCGCGCCATGGAGGCTCTGCCGGCGCCCCGAGCCGCCGCCGCCCGCCCGCGGCGGCCGCCCCTGCGCCCTCACTATTTAACCGTAACGCGCATTCCTGCGCCCGCCGCGCCGCTCCGCGCAGGCGCCGGGCGGGGCGGGGCGGGGCCGCGGGGGGAAGCGGCGGTCACGGCGGGCGCGAGCGGCGCCGGCGCGGGGTGCGCGCTGTGCGGGCCCGGGGCAGCGGGCGGGCCCGGAGGGGTCGGAGCAGGCGCCGCTCCAGGGCAGCTGGGCCGGTGCCCGGTGCCCGGCATGGCTGAGGGACGGCCGCGATCTGTGCCGGCAGCCGCCGAGGTACCGGGCCCCCGGGCCCGGCGTAGGTGTGCGAGGCGGGGCGGCTTTCCCTGCGCTGTGCATGCGGTATGCATATGGCTTGAGTGCTGTAAAAAGAGCGTAGCTTTGGTAGTGTGAGTTAACCCTATTTTGAAATAACTTGTTTTTGGCGAACATGCTCTATGCAGGCTGGGGTGCGGGCAGTTCACTCTGGTTTTGTTATGTTTGTATTATATTATTTGCAAGCTAAGGATAGACAAAAGGCCTTCCCAATGCTGCCAGTAACCTTGGAAGAAGTCTACTAGCTCCATGCTTTTATTATCATCTGACCGTTGTCATAAAAAACCGCCAAACAACTCACAAAACCCATCCAAAAGCAAACCAAGAAAATGCTACTCCTTTCAATGCCCCGGATTGCTGTCAACTGCAAGCAGTCATCAGTGCATTCAGTGCTTGTGCATGCAAGATTACTCAGCCGTGTTGGCAGGCAGAAGGTAGTGTGTCCTTATTGCAGTGGTGTGATTTTAAAAACCTCCCATCTCAACTGTTCCATAAACTTTTTCCTTCATCTGAATCTTTCTGCGGTTCAGCAGCCTCTTTTGTGCTTCTAGGGTGGACCAATGAGCTTTAAACTATTATACTTGTTTCTTGCTGTTCCAGAACACCTATTTTTTTCATCCTGAGATTATTTTCTTAACATTTTTATTGATCTGTAACAAGTCAGACATTTTATACGCTGTTTATGGCATGCATTGAAGAGACATTGGTTTGTCATCATTGATTGCTCTGGTTCTTAGTGAAATTTGGACCTTCTGCTGTTCAGAATATGAACTAAGTGCCATGAATCAGTGCAACGTCACGCTTCAGAACCATGAAAGCTGAAGGAAGGAAAGCACAATTGTAATGAATTCTATTATTTTGCCAAAGTTATTATAAGCTGTAAAGTCAAACACCTAGAGATTAAGAAACTCCATATTTAATTTGATTTTCCACATTAGATACTTGTACAAACACATCTTTTTAAGAAGGGCTGCCAATTTGCCACTTTTGCCACTTAGCAAATGGACTGCCAGATAAGATTTCTTCCTTTTCTCCTCATTCAGTGCAGATCCAGGTCTCATTTATTGCAACTTGTCACCAGTCAGGCCTCAGGCTACATATGATTTTAGCAATTTAATGGATCTCGAATCAGGATAAATTATTATAATTTTTTTTTTTTTTTAATGTGAGGAAAGAACCAATACCTAATTAGTGTCTGAAATTTTTGGTTCAAAGGTTACCAAGTTAATATCTGAAGGCTCTAAGAGTGCTGAGGAATGGTATGAATGCTTGTATTCATAATTTCATCCATGATACAGAGCAGGGAGTATGGTATAGTCTGCTGAATTCTCATGTTGTTTAAAAAGACACATCTTATGTCTCTATAAACTGAGTAGATGCATCAATGCATAAAGCAAAAAAAAAATCTTGTCATTCTTTTGCTTTTTAAGACAGACCAGGGTAGAACTCATTTTGGTTTGGGTGGTTCCTTGAGTGACTGTTCCAAGGTTTGCCTTTCAAGACAAATCCATTTCAAATCTTCCACACGAATCTTTCTGAATTAACTTTTTGTTGTTTTTGAGGTGGTTTTGTTTTGTTTTGTTTGGTTTGGTTTTTTGTTTGTTTGTTTGTTTGGGAGGCTTCACCTCCCATGGAATAGGAGGATGTTGAAAAATAGGATTTATACTTAATGAGAGCACTGTCCAAAGATCAGATGACCTTAGGCCAAGTTTTCCACTTCTGTACAACTCAGCCCTCCCACCCCCAAAACCAAACAAAACATTTGACTGCCAAATCAGAACACAACACACAAATCTATCTGTTGTGAAACTCATGGTTTCCTTGTCACGTATCACAGAGGTAAGGACTGGAAGACAGAGCTCTGTGAGATGGGCCAGCCAGTGGCTGGCTGTAGTTACAGCTCTTAATCTTTTTGTTTGTTTTGAGAGAGAGAAGCTGGCATTCATTGTGCTGTGAATTCATCTTAAGTGCCTGAATATTTTTTTGTTTTGTTTTCTTTGGAAATGTGATCCTTTAACAATCCTTGGTTTTTAGAGTCATCAGGAGGCTTGAATCTTCAAAGTTTTTGTATTTTTGAAATTGTTTCTTTTTTCTCATTAATCTAAGTAACATGATCTGTGTATACACTGAAATCAGCATCAACTGTGTGAAAAAGTAATCAGTGAATAATCGATATTTACAATGCTATCAGATACTCATATTCATAATAGTTTCATAATGATGCATTGCTTTGTGTTTTCTTAATGCAGTGTCCGAATAGTGTGTATCAAATAGGATATATTGCTGAAAGGAACTGCTGCAGTGTGGTATCAAAGATCTATTTTATTCAATGATCAAGGTGGTTTTTTATCTGCTTTTTTCTGATGAATATCTCTGGATTTTGTGTTTTAGCTCCAGTAATTGTGATGTAAGCGGTCATACCTTGAGTACAGGTGTGAACCAGAGCTGACTGTACAACCCAGGGTGCAAAGAAGGAGGTTCAAAAACCTCTACATGCAGGCAAAAATAATTTCTCAACTAGCTGTAGTTACACTTTGAAGTGAAGTCTGCTTAAATGCAAAGGAACAATTTTCTTTTCCTTGAGAAGAAAGAAACAGGTTTAAAAATTTACAGAGTAATTAGATTTTCCAGTTCCCTTGACCTACATTTATTGCTGAGATTAGAAACTGCAGTGTTCAATAACTATGTTCTGGCAAGTTTTATGTGACTTTCTTTGCCACTCTTAGTTTATTATGGTTAATAAAAAAAGAAATATTTGCTTTGGAGGTACTTTTAGTTCTCTTCTTAATATTTGCTCTGGAGAGGAATGGATACCTAAGATTTTTTCCTCACCTCTTCAAATAGCACATCCAATTAATTACTTCATATTAGGGAAACCAATGTCTTTAGTTATTACTCTAGGTGATCATTTCCTCTGTCACATTTATAACATTTCTTTGTTATTCAACAGCTAAATCAGCTCAAAAAATCCCAAAGTTCAGGAGCAAACGGTGTCTTAAGAATGCATCCCTCTAGTGCTGCATAGCATGGGCTTTTGGAATGTAAGTCCTCATTCAGCTGCACCGTGGCCAGGTGAAAGGCTGCCTGTAGCTGCAGCCCAGTCATCATTTCAGCAGAAGCTGCAGTAACTGCACTGTTGAGGTTGGAAAGGTTAGCCTGACAACCAGACTGGTTAGCAGCTTGCCCAAACCTGAAAAAAAAACTTGAACATATTTGAATGTAAGAACATCTGGTTTACAGAAAATGTAAGGATTCATTGGGTTAGTTCTTATTTAAGTTGATTTATTCCACTAAGATACAATAGGAAGGAGCAGTGATTCTTCTGAGATTTTATATATTTGGCAGGGAAAAAGATTACTTTAGGTAAGTGAGTGAGAACAGTGCCAAGCTAGCTTCCCTGCAGACTTAAAATATTATCTTTTTAATGATTTAGCAGTTATGAAAATGCCAGCATTAGTCTTAAAATACTTTTAAGTGCCAAAAAATATGCAAAAGGCTTGCCAATTCATACATGCACTGTCTTCTGGTAAACACTGAACAGGAAGAACTTTGAAAAATGGAGCACTTACATATTTCTAAATCATGCTGCTACATAAAGAAGCTTTTATGAAGTAAGTCCTGCATTATCTTTTCCCTTAGAGCCAGATTGTCACCTGACTGTTGTAAGCTGCACTTTGAAGAGAATACACATACATGCTCACTGTTATAGGAGTTGTATTCACCATCCACAGGGCTCTCTAATTTTCAGGTGAATCTAGACTACTGCTACAAATTTTTTTTTCCCTTCGGTTTATTGTTGTTGAACAACATGTATGAACTATATGCAATTACACTATTACTGTCTGCCAGTCCAGCTTTATAATCTTGACTTTTATCAAAAAGTATAGTTAGCACTGCTTTGATGTCTGGTAAAAGTGACCCTGCCAGTAAAGATAGGGATTAGTATCAAATGCTTATGAATGGGAATGAATAATAGTCACTATTTAATTGAAAGGGGGAATCAATTAAATGCAATTATGTTCGTTTAAATGTAGACATCTGAGCATGTTTATTTTTTATATATTTGGAGAACTGCCTGGTTTTTGTGCTTTTTTTGTGTGCGCGTGTGTGTTCAGTGAATTGTGATTGGTTTGGATTTGCTTAAAATTGAACTTTTAGCAAAATAGAAGAAGTACTACTTTATGTAATTGTTTAATATATATTATTGGGCTTCTGTGATAGTTATATTGATCATACTCAACTTCATTCAAAGTACCTCAAGAAGATATTTTTAAACTAATACAAAATTCTTTTGTGTTTATCACAGAGACAATCTAAAATCTGAAGGATTTGCCCAAATTCCATGAAATAAGTAAGTAGAAATTAAGATCATTGTTAGATATTTCAGATTTTCTGTGAGATTATGTAATTTTAAATTTGGGGTTAAGATCTTAAGGCCATAAAGCTTTGTTAGTTATATCTCCTGTTGTTTAGTTTTATAGTCATAAATATTCCTCCCATGAAAGGTGCATTTCACAGTTGGGTCCTTAGTATTTTCTCCTCCTTGGTTATGAATTCATTGCCATAACACTTATTAAATTCAAGTTTTGATTTAATTCTGGTAGCAGACTACTTTTAATGCAAGTGGATGTAGTTTGGAGAGACTATATGACTTACTGGGCTTGTTCAATGATAAAGTTATGCCTTCCAGATTGCCATGAACTCCTGATATATGTGCAAAGAAAATGATGTCTGGCTCCATGAAGATAGCAATAGTATAGATTTTTTGTTGATCCTCATTCAGTTTCCTGAATAAAACAGGGTAAAATATGTCTAGGTTTTGAGGAGCTGGGCTTCTTGGAAAGATAGGACTTCATTTACTCAAAGCTGAGAAAACACCCAAGTAGTTTGGAGGTCTACCTGTGGTTAAGATGTTATCACTCCCAGAGCAGCAGCAAGCCTGTAATAAATAGCAGCTGCTCCAGTGTCCTAGTTTAATGCACTGAGGAAATTGGACCATGAACTGAGTTGCCAAGAGATGGACCCATGTTCTGTTTGGCTAAATCTGTGCAGTATGTTTTCTAGCAATGGGCTGGGGGAAAGAGTTTATAGTGGTCTTACATCAAAATCATGCAGCTCATTCTGGCAGAGCCTACTTATTAGAAGCCAGGCTGATAGTAAAAGGATAGCTGTATTATTATCAGGTGCATCAAGAAGGAAAGAATAGAATGTCATTTACGCAATCTTCTTTTCTAATCTAACAAAAGTCGTCTTGGCTAGACTTGGCACTCGAGTCTCATAGAACAGGTTATTTATTTATTATGTTTATTTTGTTATGTTTGTGTAGCCAGGTTACTGACTGTTTGACCCTGTCTATTTCTGATATGACGTTATATAAATCTAGCAGAAGAGTTTGTATGACAATGCACATATTTTTTGACTGTAGAAAAACATAGTAATTTGTGGCAGAAACACTGGGGGCTTGACCAAGCTATGTTTCATGAGGAAATGTGCTAAATAGCAGTGGAAGCTATTTTGTGTACCCGTGAGCTGAGATAATTACTAAAGGGTATGAGCAATGAGCAGTAAACACTTACTAAATTTTGCTCTTGTATCTGGTTGAATTTCAAAGGTAAATGGAAAAAGTGATTACTGCAAAGGTGTGGTGGCAGAGAAGGCAATAAAAAAAACCTCAGTGTTCCTCTCAGCTATTTTCATCTGAAGACTTAATTCCCAAATGTTGGTTTTTGACCCTTATACATTTTGGCAGGCTTGACATTTCTTGTTGGAAGCCACCTTTAAAAAACAGTAGATAAAAAAATCTTAGAATCATTTAGGTTAAAAAATACTCCAAAATACTTATAGATCTGTACAACAGTATGGGTGGAGCAGATTTATAATAGGTAGCCCACAAATTTTTAATCATAGTTAGTCATTATCATCTTTATGACCCATTACAAGACTCTTAAGATTGATTGTGGGCTACTTGAAAACATCCAGACATGCAAGCTGGTCATTGCTCTGTTTATGCAGGAATATTTGATGACTGAATGTGTTGCTGGCTTTGAAGCCAAATTGCACTGGGGACTGGTATTATCACTTTTATTTCGGTACTTTTGTTTCAGACTGTGGTTCAGCTACTGTTACTAAATATATGCAGCAGAGCTGGTTGCAATTTAAGAGTTGAACCTCCTGGTGTTAAGAGGCCAGCAGAAGGTAGCATTTAAGCTATGCCTCAGGCCTTTGCTGAGGTCAAAGGCACAGATGTGTGCCTGGTTTGTTTTTGCACACAGAAAATTGTGCAAGGACAGTCTGTGGGCAAATGGAAGATTTGCATATAAATGTACATGTTGGTAGCAGTATGAAATCACTATGAAGTCTCTGGATTTTAGTCTAGTGATTTCCATATGCTTTGGGTTCTCTTGCTCAACTTCTGAGCAGGTGAAATATGTTTTCTGTGTATGGCCACGATAAAATGGTATTGATATGGGGGATGGATTCAAACATAAATATGTTATTAGAGTTAGATAGATTCAAGTTCTCTTCTCCCTTAAAAATAAGTTTTACTGAAGAATTGTATTTATCTTGACAGATTGTATCCAGAAAGCTTCCCAGGACCTGTGAGATAGAATCTGTACTTGAGAAAGGTCATGAGAATGGTTGATGGTTGGAGCATTGAGACCCAGTAAACTCCAAATTAGGAAAAGCCAAGTAGGGAACTTCTAGTTGTTACTCTGACAAGTGCTCTGAGTGCTTTCCTTTATTGCACAGTCCACATTTAAATTATTATTTAAATTATTTAAATATTTGCATTTATTTAAAGTTAAATTATTTAAATTGCATATTTTGATAAGTATCTGTTGAAACTTGTTCTTTTTTGTAAATATTTGGGGTTTTTCCTCTCATACAGCTACTATGAGAGTGGTCCACCATTTCTGTGTAGGTAGTCTTGAGAAGCATTCACCAATGATAGTTTTTCTTAATAGTAATTTCAATTTCCCAAATTTTGGGAAGATAGAAGAAAAAATAAAGCACTTTTACAAAACATGCAGTTACACAGAATAAAATGAAGTTTTCCTCCTGGAGTTTCCCCAAGTTAGTATATCAGGCTGTAGTTACTACTTTATAGTAACTACTATTTGTTTCCTGTAGAAACTGAGTAAATTGTTACTTAACTTTGTCCTGAGAAACAATAAATGTGGGCAATTTCAAATCAAAGACTGGAGGTGTTTATTCTGTAATTCAACTTGTCATTGGGATGTGGGTTAACAGCTTCACATCCTTCAGTGTAATGAGGCTCAGATTTTACTATTGCCTAGGTAACAACTGTTAACATATTGATGGCAGTGGTATTTACTGTAGGTATGCTGTAAATTAATACCTTTTCTATTGTTACTGCTTGTCAAGTTGAACCACAGTAAGAAGCTGATCTGTCCATTGTTTTATTAAAGTTTCCTATTTTTTTGGTTTGGGATGAAATCCAGCTGTTTTGGATTCCTCCATAGAATAAAAATGTTTTCTGGTAATTAAGTGTTTCTCAGGGAGAAGAGAAAAGTTTTATCGTTTTAGGATTTATCTGGTCTGCATGTTGCTAGTATTGATAGACAATTCCTTTTCAGGTTATAGCCTTGTCTGAAATCTTTTTTAAAAAATATTCTACCTTTGTTGTAATACTTCATTTGTTGTCCTAATAAACGAAATAATGTAACAAATTCCATCCTTCCACAATGCTTGTGCAAGCTTTGTAAGTTTATTTCACTGACTATATTACCTAGAATTGTTTATGTAATCTTAGTTGACTTACATTATGACATTGTAGCTTTAGCATAAGATTTCCTAAAATATTGTTTTCAGCTTTATCTAAAGGCTTCCTTACTTATGTGATGGTGCATGTGAGTTTTCAGGGATGCTGCTGAGTTAATCTCATTCTCAACAGCTCAAGTGGAGTGTAGAGGGCTTACAACATTTTAGCAGTGTTATGTATATTTAGAATTAAAATTTGATTTTAAAAACCTTCATTTTCCATTTAACATAAAATTTAATATTGCTCTTTTTTGGATAAAGTAGTAATAAATTAGTTAAATTTCTGATTACATTTAAAATTATTCTTCTGAATGAGTACTTAATATTTTCACTGCAGACAAAGGGTAGTTGAAAAAAATGTAAAATTTCTTAAAAGACAGTGTATCTCCATAAGTTACATGTATATACATTTTATACTAAATTAAAACTCTGGGATAAGGATTTAGGGTACACCTGAATTCTAATTTTAGTTGCCAGTTTTAACATTTCTCAGGGGATGGAAAAGGGTGAACTTTCTTATGATTTTTATATTATTTCCTGAACCTTACTGTTACTATTTTTAAGAGTTTAGATAAAGCATCTTTATATAGGAAAGAAAATTCTGGCAATAGCAATGCATTACTGGAAGCATAAAAGATGTCATAAACAACCTTTTCTGTTTTTTCCTAATGATAATTATAGACCTGATTTCTGTGGTTCAGTGTTTGTCACTCTTTCCTTCTGCCTGAATAATGAACATTAATCCTAGGGAAAGGCCAAAGATCCCATGGATTAAACATAACCTGTGGCTTGCCAGTATTAGCAGGAAGCTTGTAAGAATGATCTGCCAAGGACAGTGCTTTACTACAGATATTGTCAATTTGAGTTTTAAAGGAAATTAAGATACTGTGGTTTAAATTAAGTTTGAAATAGGATTTAGGATTTGACTGTGGACAAATCTTTAGATTGGTTAGAAGGCATAGGCTTCACAAGTCATATCCTAATTAAGGAAATGCTAAAAGATCAGTTGTTTTTGCAGCTGCAAATTTGTTGCTATTCAAAGTGGTGACACGTCTTTTGAAATCATCTGTTAGACTCAAGATTCTTGCCTTGAAATGAGGCTGAAACCAGATTTTGCAATTGAATATTTGGACTTTTTGCAAATGGGTACTGGTTTTCTCCTGATAGTGGGACCAAAAGTGCAGATAATTTCTAGAGATGCATTGTAAGCGGCACCAAAGTCCAGTAAAATAAATAAAACCTGAACACATTAATGAAAATTCTGTAATATGAATGGCAAGCATGTGCTTTTTCGCTCTTACCTCTCTTTCCTTTTCTGATTTTCTCTGATTACCTCAAAGATGTTTCCTTTTATCTTTTCTCTTTTATACCGTGGGAAATGTTATCCTCTTTGCATTAGTTTTATGTAGTACTTATATCTAGACTGCTGCTGGATGGACTTTGTCAAAGATCTGTAAGGTCTTTTGGGCCTTTCATGTATGTGAAGGGGACCTGAATAGATCCAGTTGTGGAATTGGTAAGAGTGTTGTGAGTCTGATGTGTAGTGTTGCCCCAGTATTAGAGATCATAAAACCATTTCAATCTAGACCTCTGAAAATTACTAATAATTACATATTAATTGTATTCTGTTGACTCCAGTGGCGTGCTTTCCTTGTTCAATAACACTGGAGCAGTCCCTTTTAACTTTGAAGTAATATGTGCCACTCAATTTGTTCCCATTTGAACTCAATGTACAGGCCTCTTATATAATAAAGTCTAAATTACAATGAACATGTAGGACAAATACTTTACTACACAAATTTAAAATGTATCCTTTTATCCTGACACTACCTATTCTCAGCAGCTGTTTTTAAATACTGTGTGCATATATTATACAGAAATGGTAGTTTATTTAAGATAAGAATGGTTCTTCTACTGACTTTCCTGTTACAATAATTTTGATTCATTCAGAGAAACTGCTTCAGTAGATTGATTTCTAAAGGTACTGTATAATTCATGCTTATGTTAAGGACTGTAAACTTCTACAGATGTAACCATAATTTTTCTGTCTTGGCACATATTTGAAGACATCTTTCATATCTATAGCTATCAAGCTTTTGCCACAGTATGAGCTTAAACTTGATGATGTTGCCTCATTGCCTTTCTTAGTGAATAGACTTTAAATACTAAACCAAATTTTAAATGTAAGATGATATAAAGAAACGATATTTTCACATATTTTCTTTTTGAGTAATACTTTATGAATCTAGCTACTTAAATAGTGTTATTTCACCATAAGAACACTGGAGCACCTGTTCAATGTGGTTATAATATAAATTCAAACAGGATGTTCTTTCATGTTTGACTTTTCATGTGAACCATTGGATGGCTCTACTTCATTGGCTGCTAACTAACACATACTCCACATTTTCTTTCTGCAGGCACAAAAAAAACCTTCTTAACACACTGACTTTCATCATTCTTACTTGGTAACATCCACATCTAACCTAACTTGAAACTTCAGCTTTGTGAGTAATATATCTGTGCTGTTGAAGAATACTAGAGGAAGAAGAGGGTGTGATGGAGTGAGTGTGGGGAAAAGAATGTGCTCAGAAACAGCACATGTAAAGCCATGTGTGGAGCCAACCTGAATGTGCAGGTATAGAGGGTTGTGCCAGGGAATGGGTGAGTCTTCCTGGGTATGCTGAAAGGGCAATAAATTTTTTATTAAGGGCAGAGAGAGACACAGCTGAATGCTTGTACTTAAATATGTAAAATACAGTACTTAAATATGTAAAAAAAATTTGTTGGGAGAAAACATAGAGAATATTTAATGACTATAAGATGACTCAGTCATCTTGCTTTTAAGAAATTTTGGTTTTTTCACTTTCCTTTCTGTTTTTCCTTTCTTCCTTTTATACTGCCTATTTCTACAATGATAATATCCTGGCAGTAAAGAAGTTTTGTGAGCAATAACCATTGGTAGTAGAAAGACAGTTATGGCTGTTCTGCTGTGTGGAAGGGCTGGTCTGCTCAAAGATTGCTTCAACTTTTATTGTAGTTGATTGTAGTCCAACAGACAACAGTAACAACAACAAAACCACAAAAAATACCCAACCCTAACCAGGAAGCTGCTAATTGATTTACATTTCTAGTATTTGCATTTTGTTTACATTTCACTTATTTTAATGCTTGCATTGCTCTTCAGTTTCAAATAGATTCACTGAATAGCCTGAATGAGCTTGTAAAAGATGTACGAGCTTTTCTCCTTCACACAGGTTCTAAGTCTTCATATTTTTTGCTCTCTTGAAATATAGTATTATGTCTCAGTTACTCCACTGCAGAAAAACACAAAGGATGGTATAGGGTCATCTGTAAAAATGCCTATCCTGGGATGGATGATCAGAGCTAATGGTCTCCACTGCTCTTTAGGAGATCTTCCAAGACATTTAGTGGATGCTGTAAAGATGTTGCAGGGCATGGGAGGTTGAATTCTGGACAGAAAAAGGCAGAAGTGATCAGGTGATTTTTTTTCTTTCTCCTGTGCCTCATTTTGGCCAGCTGTATACCTTAGTCTAAGTCTGTTGGGTTAATTCTTTCCACTAAGAATTTTAGCCAAGCTAATTATTGATTTTGTGTGCAGGCCAGAGATGGGAAGTAGGATCTGCTCTCTGCTTTTATCTCCTATTGTGTGTCTTGGTGAGATTTTGTAATTTGGTGACAATACTGTACTTACTCTTTATTGGTGGTGGATAAAATATTTAGTTGATGGTATGTGCTAATTATATTTGTGCTATTATGTGGAGTATTATTTTCAGTATGCATTTTTAAGGGAGTAGAAGACTCCTAAGTACAAGATTAAATGGATGTAGGTAGAAATACTGTGAATTTTGTGTTTTGTCACACATAAAAGCCTTCAATATTTGGTAATGCTTTTCCCCTCCTCACCTCCTACTAAAAAATAAATCAGTTCTGTATTTTTCTGTATTTTTTGTTGTCATAATTGAAAACCTGCAGGATTAGGCCCGTGGTGGTTTCCCCACATTTTGCACTGTTTTATACTACCCAAATTATTTCTATATTTGTATTTCTGAAAAATTTTTACTTAGCAAGATGCATGTGTATGTCTTATAAAAGTTCAAGCAAAGTTAAAGTCTACATTCTCAT